GAAGCTTGATGTAAGATACAAGAAGGGAAGAGTAGAAAAACTAGCAGCAGAGGGAAAAACAAGAAGAAAAAGAAAAGTGAAGCGATTAGATTAATACTATACTGGAAAGACTCCAGAAACAATACGAAACATTCAAAGTGATGTTTATCCAGCTTCAACAAAGAGTCTTCAATCTCATGTGATGACATCCATCAAGTCGCTAAGCATAATATATATCAAGATGAGGAATAAATCGTTTAGATCTACGTATACAACGAATTCGTGAAATTGTTTTGTCCCATTGAGCTCTACGTACATTAAGAGAGTTGCTCTAGCATCAAGTAACAATCTCGAGATTTCGTAAGAGCTTTGCAGTATTTCACACAGTATTTAGAGCATATATCATTCAATAATCGTTCTCTATATAGAGACAACAAAAAGCACGTGTTCCCAATAAAGACATCAATAAGCACGTTGCATTGACGTATAGTAACAATGATTGATGCTCTCGCATTATGAATTCGTGAAGAGTGAATCAGTACAATAAAGCAAGTGATGTGTAAATGATTTATTCGGTTTCTTTTTATCAAAAGTAGGATGAGTATTTACGATGCAGTTTAATTATTTTCTTTATATTGATTCTAGCACTTGAAATATTTTCATTGTCCAATCGAATCATTTTACTCGTCTTCTCAATAGCCTCAATATATGTACATGAAATGCTTTTTTTTAAACCATTTTTCAATGAAAAAATTCTATCAAGTACAAAAAGTTCTTCTACTTGTAATTTTCAACACAATGTACAACTAAATAAAACGAACAAAATGAGCTTATTGAATTTATGTTTATCACAATATATGAAGGTATTATTATGAACTCACATCAATCGTTTATATAAATTAGTGATGAGATATGATTTTGAGTATGGGTGTATTGATTATCTGTTCAGCTGTATTCATACCTCATACCCATCCACTTAAACTGTCATTTTAAAACGGTTACCATGAATTTTAAGTAAAGGAAAAAATGTGAATAAAAGTAAGATGTCATAAAATAGCAATCCACATATTCATACATTTTCTCGTCTGTGTTTGTCAAAGAAAAACGAAACATAAATAAACAAATTATACTTCTGCTATAGAATTAAAAGTAAAAAAAAAAAAAGTCATGATTTTCACAAATTTCGTATGAAAAATATGAAAAAAAAAAGGTATTTCATATGATGAAACGGATAGAAAAATTGATGCATTTCAATTTCATTGACTAATACGAATATATTGATCAAGTCAATTTAATGGAAATGATTTTTACTCAAAATCGAAAAATCGCATTGATGAAAATGAACATTTAAATCAATATAATTGAAACACATTGACTTTCAAGTTTGTTTCATCATTTCAATGTAACTTTCTTTTCTATTTGTTTAAGTTCCTAGATTTATAGAGGAATAGTATCGATACAATGATTCGTTAAATGAGAGTAAATATTTCTTTCTTATTCATATGAAGAAACTCAAATTGAATTATAATTGAAAAACTATGGATTTATAATTCTATACATATATGTGTTCTTTTCCTTTATGTTGTGATCACTCTAATTTCGTATATAACAATATTTCTTTTGTTTCTTTTTCGTATTCTGCATTCCATTTGTATGAGTCATTACAACATATAGATCTCTCTCTATATATATGCTTGTCTTTTCTTAAAAAGATGATTACTTTTGTTCGTTTCGTTTCATCTAACTTGTTGGTTGTTGCTGTTCTTCAAGTCAATAACACAAGTTATTGACCTTGACCTTTATTGTATTACGCAATTGATAATACAATATATTTTCTGGCTTTTACGTATAACTTCAATACGTGACAATGAGTAATTGTATTTTTGATCACCAAAAAAAAGATACTTTTGATCACCAAAAATCGTTAGATACAACTGATCACCAAAAAAAGATATTTTTGATCACCAAATGTTTTAGAGAGTTGTGATTCTTCATCAAATCTTGTTTGTTCGTCATGTACTTACATTTCATTATCTATTTTTTTCATCATATCACTCGCATTTGCTTATACCTTTCCTGTTGCTGCTTCTCATATATATAAATACTTTAAAGTTTTTCGCTTTTAAAAATGTCAAAATCAAATTAGATTCTGCTTTGTGTAGTTAATTCACTTGATGATGTTAAAGCTGTAGCTAAATCACATAATGTGTGTCAATATCGAACAAATAATCTTAAAGATCATGCAAAATACTCATTTAAATGTAGTTAATATCGTAAATATTCATCGTGTAATTATGAACTCATAGCAGTTGTACCTGATGATGATCCTAACTCAATTACGGTAATGTTCAAAAATACTCACAATCATAGTGACTGTAACCAAACATCTCCTTTACCATCTCCACTACGACAATCTGTTTCACAATATGTTCGTGCTGGTTCAACAGAATCTCAAATTCGTTCGTCGCTCTCAATTGATCATGCAGCCATGCCAGTGCCATCAAGCAAATTAAAATATATATTAACAAAAATAAGAATATTGTTTACTTTTGTTAATATTTCAATGAATATTGTTTATGTTGTACATTATATTTTAGTTTGTTGAGAAATAAAAATATGAGTTTGCATTCTAAAAAATTTGGTAATCAAAAATATCTTTTTTTTGGTGATCATTTGTATCTAAAAATATTTGGTGACCAAAAGTATCTTTTTCTGGTGATCAAAAAAAATTGCTACCCAGTGACTATAATGGAAAACGTCACCAATAATATGTTGAAAGAGTGCATTGATAGCTCATTCCTCATTTAGAACGTTATGACATGTAATAAATGAAATTAATAAGCTGAAACTATATATATTAATTATCATTATTTGCATATGTTTGGTCATTCTTATAGTTTTTGTAATTATTTCACAAGACTAATAATTTGTGACAAGTTGAATTGTATTTATTGCAATTAATTTTGGTCTAAATTTTTCTTGAAGTATTTGTTAATACTCTTCAAATTACATTTATACGTTTGTTCTCGTTTATTCTATCTATTTATTCAACAATGAATAACAACAAACAATTACAAAAGAAGAAAAAAATACTCATTTAATGAAACATAGAAGAAGTGAGTTATGTGTCTTTCTGTTCTATGGATAGTCATAGTCATGATTAAACAACAAAATATTTAATCTATGAAGTATATCATTGATCGATTATGTGTAATGTTAAATTCTTTTGATCAACTTATATTAAAATGTTATTGTGACTGAGATTTCGAACATATCTTACATAAAAAAATAAATATATAGCTGAGTATATATTCTGATTTAATACATTTCTATTAAAGTTTTTCTTTTTTGATATTTTCATTTGAAGCACACACATCACTTTTCTAGATGCACACAACATTAATTGACATTTCTCATCATGATTTATGTCAGCAGATTGCGTACTAGACTCATTAATTTGTTTTGTTTGACAATCAATGTTTTTCAGTAAAATATTTTACAAAAATGGATATAATGAATAGAATACAAGTCGAAGATATCTACATTACATTCTATTGTTAAATTTAATGTTGAATTAGAAGACTGTTACTACTTTATATGTATATCTTTTTTGTAACATAACAACTTTAAGCATGTCTCTACATGTTTTATTTCTTTAGCAATTTTCAACTTTTTTTAAAATATGAATGATGAAAGGAGCACATAAAATGAGTCGATGAATTCAGAAGGCATAAAAACGAGAAAAGAGACTAGATCGGACGAGATAAAAGGATGTGAGTGTTGTTGAAAAAGAGAAGCGCATCTACACCTACACTCTCGAGTGTCTCAAACATTCATCCGGAATTCTACTGATCTCAAACTATTTCATTTTAGACAAAGAATTCATTTACGCCATTTTACAGATATATACATTACACATACATAGCATTCATCAATGAAAAGATTAACATATACTATGATTGGAAAAAAAGCAACATATCTCATTTTCTTGTTCAAATGAATCAATCTTTCCACATATTTTCAAATATCAAATAGCAAAACTTATTTTTGAATGTCATGATAAAATAAGAATGGAAATATCATAAACAGATTATACTCTCAATGTCTTTATACATATGAATCATCCATTATTGATTACTCTACCTTTATCAATGTGTCATTTAACATCAACCATTTTTTTTTCTCTTTAATTCGTACAAAATTATGTATTTATGTAAATAGTTTTGATGATTGCCTTTACTTACTTGACGATCGCCTTAAACAATCAACAAAATTCATCGTTGGAATTGATGATATCAAAAATGATTTATCTTTCATTGACAATAAGATGAGTTTATTATTTATGATTAATCCGACGTATGATTTTCTTTTTGTTTTACAAGTGAAGAGAGAAAATATCATTCTAGATTAGTTATGTCACATTAATTCTTACTTTCATTGCCGTTAACAAAGAAAATGACAAATATTTTTATAATTAGAAAGTTTCTTACTTATTAGTGAGGAATATTTAGTTTAACCATCAGTTATTTATCGTTGAATAATGATCTTAATCAGTTACTATTTTGTTGTACGTAGTACTTTAATCTAAGAGAATTTGTAAAGAATTGTAATTGAATAGAATATATTGATTCATACTTCACATGAATTAGTTTTTTTTATAGACAGCTTACGAGGCAATCTCTTCAGGTGCGTCGTTTCAAGTTTAATGACTTTTTTTTGCCTATAGATACTGAATAGTGTTCTAGTAAAACCTCTAAAAGAATTTCGATTCCTGATGGAATTCGGCTAAGCTATCAAATATATGTTATGTCTATTTTCAAGAGACTAGGCTTCCGAAAAAATCGAATTCCCGAATTTTGACCAGAAACTTTGCTTGTGTATAGTCTTTAACTTACTAGGTTCCATTAAAATAATCAGAAGTTTTAAACAAAGCCTCTTTGAGATATAAAAATTTCAAAAAGATTCGTGCTCTATATACTATATATAGAAAAGGGTCTATATTGTAAAAAATCTTTGTTCAAAACTTCTGACTTATTTTATGAATACTATTATAGTTAAGATCTATAGACGAGCAAAGTTTCAGACTGAAATTAGAAGATTAGATTTGTCCAGAAACTTGCCCCTTGAAACCATGTATATTGCAAATCTGATAGTCTAGTTAAATTTCACTAGGATTCCAGATCCTTTTAGAGTTTTTACCAGAACATTATTAGTATTTGTAAGCAGAAAAATTATAAAAACTAAAACGTGGCACCTGAAGAGGTTTCTCCGCTAGTTGATAGATTAAATGTTGAAATAAGTTTCTATTTGGCAGAATGGTTTACCTAATTTAAAATGCTTTTCATTAATATTTTATGGTAAAACTACATAGGAAAATCAAGTGATAACTCTCCTTTGTCATATGTCACATCTGAAAAAATTAACTTTGTATCTTGGTACCTGTGGTTTAGAACTACATTTATCAATGATACTTATCTTTATAATCAAGTTCTTAAACATATGTCAGGACTTCAGACATGCACTTTGTATATAAGTACTGAGATAGATTTCGATGATTTAGTTCATCGTTTGTCTGATGATAATATTCAGCAAACTTCTACAAATCTAGTTTTATCATCAAAGGAGTTGTGGTGTAAAGTATCTTCGTAGCGGTGAAGCGTTATGCCGTGTCTTTTCATTTCCGTTCGTATTTGATCGGCGCGAAAAGATCAGAAATAACTTTCCAACTATGATTTACAATCATATAACTTATATGGCTGTAATTGATGCAATCCCATTTACATATAAACTTTTCATTCGCATTACCAAAGCTTTTCCCTCGTTGAAATATTTTTCTATTGTAAATGTGATGTTACCATTATCGAATTTTGGTCTACATAAACGTGATAATATTCAATCCTATTCAGTTATTGAATATCGCAATCTTACTTGGCTCAGTATTTTTTATGTCAATAAGTACTATATTGGACAATATTAATCAGTTGAAAACTGTCACGTAGAACTTTACAAGAGTTGCAACGCGATATAATAGTACTACGATTATTACTCCTACTTTGTGACAGACAAGGCGACTGCCTTGTGATTTTTTTTATATCAATCTGCTATTGCATAAATGAAATATATTACTAAAAATTAGTCACACTGGAGGAAATCCTTAAAGACGGCATTTAAATTTGATGCATTGGGTTGATATTTCAGAATGAATAGTGAAGATATTCATAAACATTAAAATCTTCATTAAATTGAAGTTGAATGTTCAATTCTGTTGCAGATATAAATGGTAATTAACGTCTATCCTCTCATGATCATAGTAATGTAAGCAGCATTTTCTTCCATTTAATCTATTCAAAATGCTTTTGAACAGAAATCAAATTTTTGTTCATTTGTACTTTCATTCTATATCTTCATCTTTCTGTGGAACAACACCATTTAAATCATCAAGGTTTCATTCACAGAAAAACCTTCTATTGTAAACGACTCTATAATGTGAACAGCTCTTTATAGTAAAATTATGCATCTATATTTTTGAGTTTCACCAATCAGAAAAATTTACAAAGCCATATTTTTTGCTCTACTCTTATTATTATATACTCGCGTAGTTCGAATCGCTCATCAGTAATCGATAGATACTGAATTCGTTGTAATTAATTCTTCTATTCCTGTTTTCAATCAGTGGGATATTAATTAACATTCAAGAGGACTCGTTGAGATTGATAGAAGACTGGACGACGATATTTTTTCTGGAGAAAATCTGCCTATTTTGTTTGAATCACTGAAAATGATGATCGAATTATTATTTTTTTTTGTTCATAGCGTCCTAAATGAGAACACAATTTAGTCGATTAAGATAAAGGTGCTCTCTTTTAGAAACGGAAAAGTAACATTGGTTTCGTTCATGTTACGCTTTCAAAAACATGCGAGGAACCATTCTTTGTTAAGTTAGTCACTGCAAACTGAGACTATTAGGTCTGTCTAGTCTATAAAAAGACGGGTAAAAGCAAAGAGTAGGTGTGGATATGCGTATTGAAATTGATGAAGAAAAGACCTACATCAACGTTCTTTGATGGCTTGAATTTTTATTTTTATGACATTCGAAATGTTACTTTTTTAGTGTTACTATCATTCTTTCTCCTTTTTAGATTATCCTTTTTTCCACTCGTCTCCATTCTTTTTCTTCTTTTTCTGTCCTTCTCTCACTACTATTGTTTTTTCGTCTGTTTTTTCATTACATTTTATCAGCCAGACGTAGCATTTATATCTATTTTGCTTATGGTTGTGTTAATCAAGCAGCTGCGAACGTTGGCGAAATTTCTCGTGGGCATTTCAGATTGTAACATTAAAGAGGACGAAACCAAAAATATATATTTTTACTTTTCAAGACATTCTATGTTAATGGGGATCAATCATAGATTTAAAAGAGCTCAAATTTGATTTTAACTTGTGAAAGAGTGGAAAAAATGTACTCTTTCATGTTTAATAAACGGACGTTTTTGAAGATAAGCAAGTTTGTTGACGTTATCGTTTTCAAACTCGTTTTCTTTCAAAACAAACTGTTTTTAAAGTGTAAAGGCACATACTACAGCACATAAAAACGTGTTTTTGCGTCGATTTTGTCTGAATGAGCAGAAAAGAAAAAATGACATGTTGTCTATTAAATACTCTATATAAATGAGCTGCGAAATGTAATTTTTAATATAAGCTACGAAAAAAATCAAGCAAAATTTTGCGTTAACGATAACATAAGTCGAACTCGATCAGGATACATCAGTAGATTTTCATTTTTATTTTTGCTAATTTTGTTCTTATTTGAAGACTTTCTTCTTTCGGTCGAGTCAGGTGATAAAACTCATTTTGATCGATTGTTTTAGTAGTAATAATAAATAGCGAAAAAACTTTATGATTATAGTTTCAATGATAAATGTTGAATTGTGATGACGGCAAATTTCATTCGGAATATCAATACTAGCTTCAAGGCTAATAATACAGTACGTATAAAGTTTTCAGTGATCATTAAGTAAAGTCAATACTGGCGAGTATTTTGCGCGTCAAACAGAGCATGCAATATTGCTTTCCAGTGGTTTTCGTGAATAATATACGCAGTAAATCCAGTAAATTCTATTAGATATTTCAAGTTACTATTTACATCACTTGACAATGGAACATGAACAATTTTGTTTAACTAAAAATTTCTTTTACTGGTGCTATCAAGACAAAAACGATGATCGATGTGTTTGGCAAGTGCTGAGCAGAATGATAATTTCTTTATAATACAACAGTTTGAAAAAACTCAGAAAAAATAGTTTCAGCTTCTCAAGACATTTTCTAATGATACATTTGAAAAAACTATTATTTTGAGTTTAGCCACAGTCAATTTTTTCTATTAGCGACAAAAGAATTCTAATATACATGTACATAGTGTGATCAAGGCTCATAGGAATAAAATAGTTGAATCTCTTTAACCATTGGAGATCGTGGTCACTCAAGTAGCACGCGGATATCCACAATCACACATCAACTTCCACGCAAGATTGACATTCGTTTAAGGCTCAGAATTAATGATGAAATGTCCCGCTCTAATTCCCATAGCTTCTCTCAAGAGAGATGAATCCTTTTTTATTCAATCATAAGATAGACCATGTGATAGCTAAAAAAAAGATACTTTATCTTTTTATCTATTTGGTATAGTAAAGTAACGAAACAAAACAATTGCATATTCTAATGTACGTCATTGGTGTCGATGTCGGGGGCACGAATACAGGTTAGAATTATAAATTCACTAGTGAATATATACATGAGTTTTCTCTAGATGCTGTTCTGGTACATATTCAATCTGGTCATGGTACGCTACATAGCATCTTGTTTTTCTTTGTTACATTTTAATTATTTCCTTTATTTATGTGTTAATTCAAAAAGCACCCGAAGTGGTGGCTACCAACAAATCAACGACAAGTTCAGACGTATTCTCAGGCGTTCTACACTCGATTCAACAGGTTCTTCAGGATAATGAAGTGGCCGCTGTCATGATTGGTACGACACACTTTATCAATGCTCTTATTCAACGGCAAAACCTCGCTCGAGTGTGTACTCTACGCCTGTGTGGACCAGCAACACGTTCACTGCGGCCTATGTCCAATTGGCCAGATGATTTGAAGAAGCAGGTGACATATTCGAAGTTTTATGTGAATTTAAAGTCGTCGATTCACTACACTATTCAAATCTTATAACTTACATAACAATTCAACCAATAACTACGTCAAAATCAAAGAGGGATGGATCTAATCTAGTACCTAGCGACCGAAGGAGAAAACTACGGATCGGTTTCTACTTAATATTGTATAAGATAAAGTCATCCTGGACAAGATTATGCATGCAAGTCTTTCTGGACAATACGTGGAAACGGTAAAGCAATAGAATAAGCTTTTAATTGTAATATTTGTATTAGATAGACGAATATCAAATTTACACTTTCATATTAAACTCAAATGATACTAACACATTACCTTATCTTGAGAGAATACATCTAGCTTCTATTGCCCTATAAGGAGGAATATTGTTCTAAATTGAAAACAATTATTATCATATAGTCATCTAGAGTGTATTCAGAAACTACACGTTCCATTAAAGCGACGATTTAGTCCATGAATGATGACGTATGTTGAGATCGACAAGCATGTTTTAGAAACCTCATTGGCAAAAGAAAAGAATATGAGAGGCAAACAAATGGTTCTTACATTCTATAAATATTTGAAGGCTCTCGACAGATGGAAGTTGGAAGATTATTTACACTTTGTGGTGATGTTTAATTTATATTAGATTTATAATCTAATATAAATTGAACATTCCGTTGCAATGGCTTATTGTCATATTAGATTCTTGGAATTACATTTAAAGAGATACGTATACTGTTTTTTTATAAAATATTTAATGCTGAAAAGACGGGTTATTTTAATTCTACTATAATGGTTTAGACAATGAAAGTATCTGGGCTAAATCAAAAGTGAGCAAAGATAAATGTTCAAGTGTCATTAATGTCTTCATCATCCTTTGATGAAATATCTCATTCATCGTCTGAAATAAGGTGGATCGAATTCGACTCAACACGTTCTTCTGCAAACTAATCGGTAGCTGTAAACTAATATGAAAGTGTAAATTTCACATTCGTCTATCTAATGTAAATATTACAATCAAAAACTTATTCTATTGGTATACCCTTTCCACGTGTTTTTCCGAAAGACTTGCACGCATAACACTGTTCAGAGTGACTTTATCTTATATAATGTAATATCGAAAAAGATCCAGCAATTTTCTCTTTCGATTGCTAGCTGCTGCCGTTGTCGAATTATTGACTAATAATCACCTCTCTTTAAGTTTGACACGGACATTAGTGTACTGAAAGCATTTGGCTCACACTGGTTGAGAAAGCATGTTTTTTTCTTTTATTTGTTTAGGTGGATGGTTTGACAGCGCTGGTTTCTGGTGGCTATTTTTTTGATGGTTCTCTCATCACTTCTTTGAACGAAGACGAAATTCGCGCGCTTGTTCGTCAAGCTCTTGCATCTGATATTCATTCATTTTGTGTTTGTGGCGTTTTCTCTCCATGCCGACCTGATCAAGAACAACGTGTAGCTGAAATCATTCGGGAAGAATCATCAGATGTATTCATCACTCTTTCACATGAAATTGCCGGCTTGGGCTTAATCGAACGTGAGAATGTGTCGATTCTTAATGCATGTCTTCACCCACTGGCTTTTCGCACTATGAGAGCATTAGAACAAGCTCTTCCTCCTGGAATACCTCTGTTTCTCACTCAAAATAATGGAACTTTGTTATCTATTGATCAATGTATTCGATTCCCTGTTCTTACATTTGCTAGTGGTTCGACGAACTCAATGATTGGTGCAGCTCATCTGACTGGTATTCAAAACGGGATAGTAATTGATGTGGGAGGAACATCGACTGATATTGGAGTGATTGCCAATGGAAGGCCAAGACAAACATTTGCGGTTAGACAGCTCTGGATAAATTTCTAATCAATAATACTATTTCGTAAATAGAAAGTATATCTGATCGATGACATTCGTGTCAACATGAGCATGCCTGATGTTCTTTCTTTGCCATTAGGCGGTGGCACAATTATACATGTTGATGAGGACACTGGATCAATATGCGTTGGTCCAGATAGTGTCGGCTATCAATTAGTAACTCATGCATTGGCATTTGGTGGTCAAACTATCACTGGTACAGATGTAGCGCTAGCTGCCAAATTGACTTCTGAGGTTAGTACTGATTTCTGTAGAAAGTTATAGCTATATATTGAATATAAGATTGGTCATTCTATTGTACAATTGCCATCGTTCATTGTTGAACAAGTGCTCGATCATATAAGAAATACAATCAATAGAGGCATCGATCGAATGAAAACTAATCAAGAGCCTATACCTGTCATTTTGTGCGGCGGTGGATCAATTCTTGTGAATCCAAAACAAGTTTTCGACGGTGTCACACATGTATTCTTAACCTAGTTTTTACATGCATCGACTGTTTTCTCTTTTTCTAAGATGATTCGTCCACCTCACTATGCGGTCTGCAATGCTGTGGGTGCTGCTCTTTGTCGAGTTAGCGCTAGCATTGAATCGATTGTTGACCTTGTTCCATCATCAATCGACGATGGCGTACAACGAAAGCGTGAAATCGACCGATTGACATTAATGGTTCAACAGCAATGTGAACGAAATGGTGCTCAGTCAAATACGATTCAGTTAGTCGACATAGAGCAAGTACCGCTAGCATACTATCCAGGAGGATATAAGCATCGAGTATTATTGACTGCTATCGGACAGCTCGATCTTTCCAAATTGAAAGGATATCACCGACAAAAGGGGGAGCAACAGCACTTGTCAGAAGTCCCAGTAAGAAAACCGCAATTATCTAGGCCACCAAAATATATGAGCATGGTCAACAAGCAACCTATGTTTGACGACAATGGTAATTGGATCATCGACACGATTGATATCGAATACATCTCTTATGGAGTTGGCATTCTCGGTAAATTGTTACATTTATTTTTGTACAGTTCTCTCACATTTCTGCTGGAATTCGTATTCCAAACTGATGAGATTTATTTTGATAAGTTTACGACATAAATGAATTAAAAAATAATCTAAAATTAATATATTTTATGAAAGAGAATTATTACAAGAATCTATCAGATATACACAAAATCTACATATTGTTTCTATAAGTTTAATTTATACTATTTACATAAATTCTATATGTAAGCATATATATTTTTCTTCAGTCGAATTAAGTCTATTAAATTTCACTATGGTCTAGCAGAGTCTACTGGAGTCTAGCCAATATTGTCAAACATGAAAGTTAAATTCAATTGAAAGACAAATCGTGAAGTTTCAAGGTTTGATTTTAAAAAAAAACAACTGCATCTCCTGAGATCTTTCTGTACCCTTTCTTAAAATTTAAAACCTGTATTAAATTCATCTTTCAGGTTTAACATGTACGGGTCTACCAGGTTAATAGACCCTGGCAGGCCTATCATAAATATTGATAGAAACTAATAAAAACTGATTTACTATATAATTCATTTCTTTTGAATTATTTTGTGATTCATTTGTGTCAATTCACTGACTTTCACCAAGTTTTCTACCTTCTAAGCATTCAGAAATACTAGGTTTCTCTATCAATTGTACTAGTCTATGTACGACTAGCTGTTCTATGAAATGTCCGCTCTTCAAGAGTACCAGTAGATCTTTTTAAAACAACATAGAAAAGGAGATGTGCTATTGTAGGTTGTGGTGGTGGCGGTGAACCTTATCACACAAAATTGTCATGTCTAGAAATGTTGAATACCTGCAACGGTGTCATGCGTGTAATACCTCCTTCTTCTCTTCATCCATCGTTGGACCTGGCCGCTATTGTTGGTTTCATGGGTGCACCCACAGTATCTTATGAGCAGTTACCAAGTGGTAATGAGTGTCTGTTGGCTATCAGTACTATCGAAGCATATCTCTCTAGAAAAGTTACATCAGTATTCTGTGGAGAAATCGGTGGTGCGAATGGTTTACGTGGTTTGTTAGTGGCAGCAAGCAAACAAGTTCCATGTGTCGATTGTGACAACATGGGAAGAGCCTTTCCTCGACTCGATCAGAAGCTGTCATTCATTCGAGGTCAAAGTGTCACACCTACTTGTTTATGTGATGTTCATGGACGTACGGTGTTGTATACACAAGAGACAATCAGAGACGCACAAGAACTTGAGGAGACATTAAGAAAGGAATGTACAAAGATGGGTCTTAGAGGTGGACTTTGTCTACCACCGTTGACAGGTGACCAAGTACAAAAATACACAGTGCATCATAGTCTGTCCCTAGCTTGGTTCCTCGGTAAGTGTTAGAGACTTTTCATAGATGAATACATGGATATCTGTAAATAGGGGAAGCTAAATTTAATAATCATAATAATGTTATTCAAGCAGTTGCCCAAGCTGGTCATGGTTGGATCGTTATTTCAGATGGAAAAGTAATCGGTGTAGAACGGAACACTGGCTCTGGTTTTGTTCGAGGTCATGTAATAATCGATGTCGAAGGAAAAATATTGACAATAGATTTTCAAAATGAAAATTTGGTGGCTCGTTTCGAAGACAAAGTAATTGCCAGTGTACCTGATCTGATTACACTCGTCGAACAGGACTCAGGCGAACCGTTGTCTACAGAAACTGTCAAATACGGATGTCGTATCTCAGTGCTTGTGCTACCAGCGCCCGAGGCAATGACCACATTAGAGTCTCTCAAATATGTGGGACCTCGTGCATTTGGCTATGACCATGATTACATACCACCTTCGTATCATGTTCCAATTAAATCCGTTTGGGACATATATTATAATAAACCTTCTATATCACAATAATTTTATAGTGAATGAAAACGCTAATGAATGTAAAAATCATCATCGACATCAGAAGAATTAATTCATCCGTTAATTGCATTTCTTGCCCTTAATATTTACAATTTATCGTTTATCTCTATGCTGCACGTATTGAAAAGAGTTCTTATGTTATGTTGGATTATTGCACTATTGTAGACAAAACCTTTCCTCGTATCAATAAATTTCTAGACTATTCTTCTGACTCTGATACAATATTTTCTTCGCTCTATCTTTTCTAAGAATTTGATCGAAAAAAAATGCTTCAAATCCAAAAAAAACTATTCAAAATAGCAAACAATGCTTTTCGGGTGTGGATGTTAATAAAGAGGATATTCTTACTCACGATCACAATCACTCCAACATGCAGATCCTAAACTCAGCTGTCCCATAATTACAACTACACATACGCATATATCAAATACTTTAGAATAAAACTGCATGCAAAATTATGGTTCATTGATTCCTTCACTTATTTTTTTTTTAAATTTTGATGCTAATAAATGTACGTACACCTGCAACTAAATAGAAACAAAGTTATTCGATGATGAATGATTCATCTAAAGTAATATTGATTAATTTTATTTTTCAAATTCATCAAGTTTCTTGCCGCATTCATCTTCACGTATTTGCCAATCTTTTGACCATTTAATTTCAAAAATGAATGGAGCAACAACGACTATACTTACTATTGTAATCAAGCTTCATGGCGATTCAGTTTCAGTAAGGTCACGCATCTTCACAGACGACTTCAATAAATCAAATTGATTGAAGGATCAATTTAAACGAAATGCGGATAGCTATAAACCCTCCCCCTCCCCTCCCAATATTAGAAGCCCCCTCCAGACAGGTCGATCTGCCAGACGTATTAGAAGCCCTCTACATTTTCAAGGCATCTTAAGAGGTAAAAACCTGTTAAAATCTTATTTATCATTATCAAAATCCTGAAATCTTTTCGAAAACCTGCTGAGCAACTCATAAAAACCTTAAAAACTCGTTAGAACTTTCGAAAAATCCTTGTTCTTGGCACCTTTGAAAAATTATGGGACCTAATAGAAGCCCCCGGGGCTTCTATTATAAAGGGGGGAGGGGGGGGTTAATCTTTAAATGTGCAAATTTTTCTCTCCTTCAGGAGAGAAAAAATTCTCATGCAATTATTCATTTCGAACCAGAGATGAGCACAGGACAAGATTTTTCGCCCTGTCCTGCTAGTCAGCTGAGTCCTGGCGGGCGGCAGGATAGGACAAAAATCAAAATTGCGTCCTGTCCTGTTTTGTCCTACTGACTTGTTGTGTCCTCACGGGTCATAGGATAATACATGAAAACTTTGTTCTAATTTGTTTTGCTAATTCATTCCATTTTTTTCGATCGACAGAGAGTCGATCATCAGAGTCCTTAATCTGACTATCGTTGATCAAAGCAAATATTACTATTACTTACGTTAGACCTAATTTATTGTTTACCATCCTAAAATACAAGAAATACACTCTAGATCATCACTTATTTTATAAGTGCAATAAAATATAATAAAAACTTAATTTTATATCTTGATGGCACATTCATGACAAGAAAAAAATACAAAAAATGAACATGATTGATTGTAACATGATTATCTTCTTTTATACTAGAAATTATCTCTGAAAAGTAACAACAACATAGACTTTTATCACAAAAAACAACTATTTGTCATAAATAAATGTACTATAACAATTGAAACAACTAATATATCCCGACATTCTTTGAAATACACCATGTTCAGCTAATTTTCCTGGATAAACAAAGACTTCCGACCAACCTATTAATGGTGTTGAGGATTCTTTTTTTTATAGCACTATATTTATTTGTTTCGTATTTAAGTAATTGTTTAATTTTTGAGGAATTTAATGTGTTCGACGATGATGAAATTTTACTACTGCTCATGCTGAATATTTATTTTGAGATTCAATAAATCGAAACAAATAAAATACAAAGTAAAATAAAAAACATTCAAGGTGAAAAGACCAAAGAACACTTGTTTCGTGTTGCTTTCTCTTTGTATTGTGACTGAAAATTTCTGAATCATCGATGATAACATCTAATTGGTAGCTTTTTTTCAACGAATATTTGAATTAGTGTTATTATTCATTCTAATAGCGATATCTATCACTTATCACATATGTCGAGTGTTAAAAAGTGACGCGTCGAAAATGGTAGTCGTTTAAAAAAATATGAACAACTATAGAACAAAAAGTTCACACGAGAAATTTTTTTGTCCTACTCGGTCCTGTTCTAATCGCTATCTTTGTCCTGGCGGGCGGCAGGACAGGGCAAAAATCAAAATCGCGTCCTGTCCTGTGCTCATCTCTGTTTCGAACATTTCGTTATAGAATAGAAACGAAGAGCTGCACATAAGAAATATGACTCTTCTATTTGCATCAAAAATGACCAAATTTATTTTTTACTAACCTATTTGAACTCTTTTGATTTCAGATGCGGTTGTTCGAACAGGAAAGTCTTCATAAGAAAAATGTAAAGTAATATTCAAATTAAAAGAATATCCACTTATTAAAAATTTTTCTATTTTCAATATTTCAGCTCTAAATGGATTCGATTCTTTATCTCTTAATGTTGCATAGTAAAAATTCTGTTGAAATTATTCTATTTGTCTCTAAAAATCAAAAGATAACGTTTTTCTTTACTTGCTATATTATTTTACCATATCATCTAAATGTATTTTGTGAAATACGATCTGAAAGGAGTGTTGAAGTGTTTAAGGGTAGAAATTTGGACCCCCCTCCCCCCACAGACCGTGACAGACACTCACGTGACCCATCACAGACCGTGACAGACACTCACGTGACCCATCACAGACTGTGACAGACATCTTAATTAATTAATTAGTATTTATTTATTTAATTAATTAATTAGTATTTAATTAGCTAATTAACCGTCACAGACCGTGACAGACAGGGTTTGGACCCATCACAGACCGTGACAGACAGGCTTTAGACCCATCACAGACCGTGACAGACAGGGTCTGGACCCATCACAGACCGTGACAGAGAAACTGTACTTCTCAAGCATCAGATAAACGGTTAGCTACAAATGTATTGCAAAGAAATAGAACAAAACGATTTCCATTTAATTAGTAACAACAGATCCATCGTGTTTCACATTTTTAATCCCGCAAGGGATTGCGCTAACAGCTCTTTTTTTTACTTTTGCTGAACGTTGATTTTCAATCGATAAAACCATATCTTATCGTATCTATAAATACATGAATTATTATTCTATATATTAAGAGAAAAAGCTTAAATTCAATATCAACAATTAAGTGACTCGTTGACCGTTAATATTAACGAAATAACGTAATTGCAGTCGCCCAGTTTTTGTTATTAATGATGTATTAGTTATTAATTCTCACTATAAATTTAATATAAATATTTCACTCTTTCCAAGGGGCCTGAGTATATTTATATCGACATACATATAGAAATAGATGAATGGACACATATGTACATAAATAGAATCCGAGAATGGATTAAGAAGTGAAGTTAAGAGAACATAATAAATGGAAAAATTAATGAATTAGGTTAGGCGGATAGACATATCTTGAAAGCTGAGCTTAATAGGGCACACCAAGGAGATAGTTCAATGGTAATATTAGAGTAATAGATTAAGCAAATATACAAGGGGTATAGACCAAAGAAATAAGCTGAACACTTACGTTAAGAAGATAAGTATAGATTCTGGAATTAGGATGGATGTGGTTGAATGTGAAGAACATATTCACACCCATACCCTCGCGAATTCTTGTTGTTGAACGTTGAAACAATGTCCGTAAAATTTGCTGTTGAATTTGGTTAAAATTTTTACTCTAAAATACTCACCACGTGTTACCCTAGAATAAGTTCTTGTTTGCAGAAATATATGCTATTTTGCAATCACTTGATGATAGTCAAGCTTAGCCTTGGTTCATTTTATTAGCTAATTGTATGTACAATTTCTCGTTTCCTCAATAAAAAAAATACTTCTTCATTTATGTCTTATTTCGGCCCTCTTCTCATAACACGTCAATAGTATATACGTATATGTTTTCATTTTTGATAGAAATGCTAGATTAAAAATAGTCAATAATGTTGTTAGTGAAAAAACAATAATTTGTACGAAAGTCTGTTAAAACAGTGAATTATTGAAATAAAGATGATTCTTGTAAAGCAGTGTCAATTAGTTCCTTTAGTCGAGTCATATTAATTTTGATTGACGCATCAAAACGAGTATTTGATGCTCCAGGAAAGTCAAAAACATAATCTTTTTCACTTCGAACTTGATAGTAAAGCTTACGAATATGTGGAAAATAATTAAGAAAGGACTATTCAACAAGAACATCTAGTATTATCCTACTGTCTTGGACTCCTTCTCGTAGACTTTCTAATTGTATTCGCTGAGGTCTTTACTAATGGATGTGACAGTATGCGTGTGGGTGCTGATGTCATTGATCAACTGAAACCTTATCCGAAACACTCTTCGTAACACTTGCATAAATAAACATTTATCGAAAATAACATATCCACTCTTTCACCCACATATACACCTACAACAATACCCAACATGCATGCTCACACTTACATATGTAGTCATACTCACACTCAGGTCACGTCTGATTCTTTGAAATTGGTATCATTGATGTAAGCTATATACCATCTATATTTGTGCTATCTTTCGTGCAAGTAGAAGTCCTCTTTTCACTATTAATGTTTCATATTTATTATTAGAGATGCACCGGTGGTACAGTGGAACGGTGGCACCGGTGTACCGGTCATTTTTTATTGTATTCCTCCGTCTGTGCTACGGGCTACATCCTAGAAACTCGAGCACTTAATTTTCCGATAAGAAGTAATCCTTTGTCCTAATAAAGTGATTTTTTGCAAATGCTCATCGGAAATTTGGAATATGCCGGAGGATCAAGCCGATAAGAATATAGAAACCTACGGTGGAGACCAGTGTATCCGCACCGACAAATATACTGAGCCCCAAGCCGTCCAAATAATGGTAGAAAATGGTGAGCACCTGTTGGTCTTCATGGTTCTAAATTGAGAGTATTGACCTTAATGATGGTAGTCGAAGCTTTATTCTACGGAAGACGACACTATGGCAAATGAAACATATCTTTCATACCTGGCTGTAAAGATCAGACTAACCAAAGGACCGACAAAACCACGAAAACCTATGGTGATGACTGCAAGATTGATGTTACTGATTACCATGAGCTTCAACGCATCCAAATATTGGCAGAAACTGGCCATCACTGTAAGTTCCTGATGTCCTAATCGGCAGTATTAGTCTTCATAGAAATGCTCAAAAATATACAACTGAGTGCACCATGCTGTCACACATGAAAAATTTGTTTTCAAATATGACTATGACCATGCAGTCCGCTTTAAAATCGGTCCAGCCATGAAAACATACAATGAAGGTCGCTAGATCAACATCACTACTTACTCTAAGCCCCAAACCGTTGGAACAATAATACAAACCAACCATCACCGTAGATTCCTGATGTCCTAACCGGCAGAATTAGTTCTCGTGGTGATGCTCAAAACTATAATATTGAGTGCATGATACTATGGTACATGGAAATTCTCTTCTTCACACATCCGTGTGATGATAAAAGCAGTTATTGAACCGGTAGCGCCATGAAAACCTACGGTGATGGCCGCTCCATGGGCATTACTTGTCATCCTGAGCCTCAATGAGAGCGTTTAATAGTGTAAATCGTACATCACCGTAGTTTCCTTATTTTCTAGGTGGCATTATTGATCTTAACGGATTAGTTGAGACCGTATTTTCAAGTTATCTGGAAAGGTATCTTTCATATTTAGATACCCTTACTCTAGGAAATCTCAGTTGTATGAAAATACTCATTTTATCTCTCGTGTGCATGCACTCAGTGCGGTTGTCGTCAGGGCATCACTGCTGGGGAGTAGGTGATGATGTTTAAGAAATACGAGGATTTATCTCTGTCGCTGGAAGTGTACCCGCTGAATAATCACTTTCTGGTTATGAAATGATCAGAGTCACTTTTGATGGGAATCAGTGCAATTCGAATAACTTTAATCGTAGTACGTTATGACCGGTGGCACCGGTGAGCGGTGTACCGGTGGCCGGTGACAGCGGTGACCACCGTCACCGTTGCATCCCTATTCATTATGAAACTACAAAAGTGCTCAATTTCTCAATAGTTTGTGTCTCACTGTCGACCAATATCAGTGAGTCGTTTGTCTTCAATGACGATAGGTGCCATTTCTTCGCTTGTAAGATAATTCGAAGTGAGAATGTATTTAATGTTCCAGTAGACTTCAATGCCAGCGATGTCAGTGACACTGTTTCAGCATTAACATCGAAATTGCAAATGTTACTGTCATGTTTTCGCTAGTTCTTCTACTTCCTCATGCCTAGACGACTTTTACGAACGACATCAAAAAGCCCCATCCATCGAAGCTGATTCTCCTACTCTATATTTCTCGTCTTTCCGATATGCTTGTTTGTTGACATAGAAATCCATTATGATTGCATGTGTTCCACCAGGTAAAAATGGTATTATTGTTGAGATACCACCACATGGTGTGATTAATATAGTTGTCTTGTATAATTCATGCATTTGTTGAGTGAATGTATATTTACTCCAATCAATAACATCAAGTTGTATCTTTGGATATGTCGAATGTATAAAGTGTTTAACTTCGACAAGATTTTTAATTGCACGTAAGCTACGACGCAATGCTTGAGTTTTGTTAACAAGTACAATACGATGACGTGATGGTAAATGGGATACATTGACACCATGGTATCGTAGAATAGCAGTACGATAGTCATAGAGAAGTCTTTCTTTTTCATTTGTATATGATTCATTGATAATAGAAAACATTGGCTTAGCACCACCAGCTACAATAGTTCGAAAACATACAAGATGCGAAGAAAAATTATTTATGTAATGATCGAGACTATCAACTTTTGCAGCAAAAGCAGGAACTAAGTTTTGATACATTCGATAAAATTGGTTTCCTTTCTTTGGAAACCGACGATATTCAATAAGAACAGCATTTCTATCATATTCATTTAGTCTAACCATAGCGAAGTAAGTAGATGCTATATCTTCCCAAATAACATGACCAGGATTAAAGGGAACATACCAATGCATAAATAAAACATGAACATGCTCTAAATAAGGTACTTTATCAGCAGACGGTAACCATTCTTCAACAATTGTTGGTCCCCATGAATGACGTGGAGATGCACGCGCAATAAGACTAACAAAGCCATGATTATTTATATTAAAATCATATATATGACCTAGTTTAGGTTCAAATAAAATTGGCGTTTTAATACTGCCTGGTTTACGATAGAACTGAAATACTTTTTTTTCTTTATTATAACAGATATTTTTGAATGCACACGTTCGTTGAGGCCATTCAGATTCATAATTTATATTACCCGTACAAGTCCAAGTTGACTGAACATTCGAACTTGTTGACAAAGTTGCTTCCTTTATGATCTTCTCACTTTGACGTAGTAAGACTTCATCTGAAGATGTCGTATTATGAAAGCCATAAAGATGATAAAATTCGAGAAAAAAATGCAAACAATAAATCGTTAATATCGCAAGGGAAAGATGTATAAAGGAAGGCACAATCTTTGTTTGTTGAAATTTCCTATATGCCATATTGTATTAGATCTGTTGTTTTTTCACGGATATCTAAAACAAATGGTTGAGAAGTTACTTGTCATAGTATTTTTCATTGATTTATGCAAACAAAATAAAAACACATAGAGACAAAGGAACAGAAAATCAACAGCTATTTAAATCATTTAGCAGATGTGCATTATATTTAAACAGTAATCAGCAAATTTTGAATAGCAATAAATTTGTTTTAAAAACGCTAAGTTTGAAATAGCTACAATCGTTTTGTAAATGCGCCATACTTTAAATTTAAATCGTAATGAATCTTCCAGTAGCTATGAAGCTTTATTTCACAAGCTGAATGTTTATTTCAAAGCTATCTCATTTTAGAAGCAATGAATGGTTCTCCGGGTGGACCGAAGCCGTGCCCTGAGTGGATATCGAGGTCGTAAGCGAAACGAAGACTGCTAGGAGTTCTACAGCTTGAGTCGAAGAGATGTTTTGAAACAAGAGCGAAATCGGAACCAGGCAGAGAACTGATCGTGGTTCTAGCCTGTGATTAAAGGCATCTTCGGTTTTCTTCAGAAATGGATACTGAGAGAAGATCTAGTAATGCTTCTATAGTCGTGGCTAAAACTGAAGTCGGAAGCTGGAAAAGATATGGTAGAAGCTTTAGGGTGGAACTGAAGTCGTGTCCTGGTTTGATAAAGGAGTTGAAAGCGGAACGTGAAACGGTAGAAACTCTAAAATTGAGAGTGAATCCGTATTCCGCATTAATACTGCAATCAAAACTGGAAAGAGAACTGGTAGTAGCTCTCGGGCCAGGATTGAAGCCGTGTTCAGCATTTATACTGGGATCATAAGGGCTGATCGCATCCTTACTGTGGTAAAAAGCGGGACTGTTGTAGAAAATTAGTGTTTTTCCTCACTTTAAAGGTCTACTTCAACTTGGATTCGATGATAATCTTAATATTCAGCAGCAAGCTACTGCGATTGTAGCGTCAATATTTGTGTGTGATGTGTGATGGTTCGAAAAGAAAACAAATAAAGGCGTGGCATAATGTATTTTTTCTCATGATTCGATTGATTGTGCATCGTCGATAATTTAGCTTGCCGAGTGATGTGAGACAGAGCAAGCAAAATGATGGTATGTTTTCTTTTTTTCTAACCAAACAAAGGAAATATCTTCTGTATGCGTTACTCATCTTATTGATGTCTACGGATGACTGCGCAAAATGCAATGCACACGACAGTGTATGTATTGCACTAGTATACTTTATTTCTATTTATATAAGAGCATCGTTATATTGCAGTATTCATCTGGTATTGAACGAGATATCGCACGGATATAACTAGCAAAAGTATGTTTTTCGAAAATGAAGTTATTTCACAAGGCTTTTCTAGTAATAAGTTTCGAGCGTTTTTCTTTCATATATTGTATGTTATTACAAAATCGTAAAAATATCTGACTATAAGGTTTAGTATGTATCTTTTCATAAGATATCACTGTGAATCTGTACATGATTCTTACTATAAAATTCTTGCAAAGTCTAGTCATAGAAATCTCGTAAGATCTTATACGATCGTATAGCCCAGGGCGAGAAGTCTGAAATTAGAATCTCGTCAGAACCACTTGAAAACCTGTTGAATATTTTGCGGAATATTAGAGAGTCTTTGATCCCAATTTCACCTTCCACACACTTACTTTCTCACGTGCCATTAGTCTCAAATCAGTGGGTAACATTTAATTTATGCTAACTTTTATTAAATAAAAATGAAAAAAAAATAAATAAAATGACTTACAAAAAAGTTAGATAAATAAAAGTTTAAAAATTTATCAAATAAGAACAAAAATAAAAATAAATTAAATTAAAGAAATGATTTCTACTCACTATTGAGAGTATTCTTACTGTAGTTGAATCCAAAACAAAATAAAATACAATACAATAATACTAAATACATTCTCATACTTCACTTTAGGCACATCTATACACTGATTGGTATAATTCACACCACTATATTGCGTGTGAATGAGGTCGCAATAATTAAAGTGAATTAGAACCGAATAAAAATAAAAAGGATAAATACAAAATACAATAAAATAAAAGAGAAATAAACTAAAATAGTGAGCAATTAGATATATAATAGAATAAATTCAAGTATCTATAGATAATTTCATACCATCGGATTTCGTCGGATTCGGCAAATTCCCATTGTCGGATATCATCGGACCCTATTTCTAGAATCAGGAAAATCTGACAGTGGAATTCTTCGGAGATTGACGGATATTGATCGTTTCCAACAGTCGAATTCTAGCGAATGCCGAGTGTCGAATACTATTGGATCCGATTGGATGAGTTCGACCTGGGAGATCATAATTTCAAGTTTGTGTTAAGCAAATAGTTTTTATAACGATAGCTTTGTGTCTTTGAATAAATATTTAAGTGATTAAATGCGTTTTCCTTTAGACATAACTTTTCTAGCTTGAAAATGCATCGTCTATGTAATGTTGCTGAACTTCTAAAAAAATCAATGCACACATAATTTAATCAATTTGATTCAAGAGAAGTACGTTTTTCTTTTGTTTAAATTATTTAATTTTTTTAATTCTAGATTATTTTAACGGTATATTCAACACGAATTAGTTTTTTTTATTCATTTTAAAATATTTATTTTCTTATTTCAGATCATTGTCACGATTAATACAATGCAAGTCAGTTTTTATTTGCATTATATTATTTCTTTTGTATTTCAGATCATGTTAACGGTCATATCCACGTGAGTAATTTTTTTCTTTTAAATTATTTATTTTTCTTTTAGATAGTTTTTATAATTCTTATAAATAAATATGCAAGTAAAAATAATAGACTTCCTTAAGAAAACAAGACAAAAGAAGGTGAAAAAAGATTAAAATCAGGTATACAATGTTGTGCAAAATATTGGTGATTGAAATATGTATCGTATAAGATCTGATATTGAGATAATACAAAAATTGTACAGTATAATTTTATCAGAAATGGTCCTAAGGCGAATAATCCATTGGTAAGATCTTATAAGACTTCACATGTGATCTCACCTAAATTTATAACATAAGACGAAACTCGAACGATTGTCGTTTGATATTACAGGATCATACAATATTAGAGATCTGATCTGAAGATCTTACATCTGATTTTTCGACCTGTATAGGATTGAGATTAGCATATGAAATCGTACGTGATCATATATGATTTTCATATGTTGTTGTATGATCATGTAGTATATAATACAGTAAGTTCCTATATGACCTTGTAAAAATCGTACAAGATTGTATAATGGAGCGCTTTGATCTGGAATTCTTCTAGTAGAAACACTAAAACTCTTTTTATGAGGTACTTACACTAGATTTCATTTAACATGATGAATATGAAGAAGTGATATTCGTTTTTTAAATAATTATGAATATAATCAATGATTGGTATCACAACCTTTCGAGTTTTTACATCATGAACATGAGACAGATATGAACATGAAATAATTTAAAGTATGTGAATGTTTGTTTGCATGTTGGCCAAAACATATGAAATATGATTTTTTTTTAGTGTTTCTTCATCAAAAAAATTGTGCTTCGTCTCTAATAGCCATTGTCTTCAATTTCAAATTTGATTAGTGTTTCAAAATTTTTTAAATCATGTATCGAGCACTTTGCAATATTCATCATTTTGTATGAGATCTAATTGGAACTACGTGATGAAGAATGTGAATTTTTGGTAATAAAACGAATAAATTTTGCTTCGAAATTGCAGAAAGATGAGCATAGAGAAAGTAAGGACGATAAGAAATAAATAATTATAAAGGATATCTGGACGTTGATTAGTAAAGACGACAAATACAATAACATAAATTGCTTTTTTGTTTCTCTCGGAGTAACTTTAACATGACCGACGACATAGTAATGATAACTGGTAAACTATTCATAGTAGTAATCGAAATAGCTTTCATTTTTTTAAAACTTAGACAAATACACATTTGATAGTTATGAAGAAAACCAACCATACATCAATTCTTTACGTATAGCATTAGAGAAAGAACATGTAGAGCGGGAAAAGTTCTTGAATTCAAAAGCTGAACACAAACTACTTCGAGAAGCTACTCTTACTTTATTGCTTGAAAATTTTCGATTCGAACGGAAAAGTGAAATTCTTATACAAGAAAGTGATAGAAGTTGGTTCATTCATGGTGTGAGTTCAGCTCGGTGTGGGCCTTGAAATTAAATATGATGATAACTAACACAAGACTTAATGGCTATTCGTGAACAGAGCAATAGAAATAATATGTGACAGTAAATTACATAACGTATGGCTATGAGTCATGCAACGATGATGGTGAATCAATACTTTATCGTCACTGTTTTAACGATTCAAACCGATAACCGTTCGACGACAATCAGTCCTTACTGGAGCCTAGTCGTTACTGCTATAAGGCTTTAATGGGCTTATATTAGTTTCCATCGGCTTGTACTGGCTAATACTCCTTCATATCGGTTTATGCCGCATAATTATTAAGCAGTCACGAATGGAATAGTGACTACCAAGGATCGCTTATCCTCACCGTTGCATGCCTAGCAACTGTCAAGTAATATAAAGATAATCAAAACGAAATAGATTCTCTAACTCTCTGTTTTTTCTTTTCACTTTACCTTGGTTCACTTTTGTTGCTTAAGAATTTCAATAAAGTATTTCATATGTTGTGATTTCAAAACTTATTCTCGCTAGCAATAAGACGTCGGCCAACTTATAGAAGGACCCTACAGATCAAAACTGATGCCACATATTGAGCACCAGGCGTCAAAGGTTTTTGAAATCCGTAGTCAATATCGTATTATACGTTGATAGCACTACCTAGCTTTGCTATATAGTAGAACAAAACAAAAAAGAAGAAGAGCTAGAACTTTTATTCATGGTTAGAATTTCAAAAGAATCCATAGAGCGATGTAGAAAACATGTTTTGAGTACACTTCTAAAAACTCTTGAATATATAACGTTGATAGTGTTTGAGTAGAC